TGAGTTTGCATTTTGGGTCCTCATCCTGCCTGCCACACAGCGATCATGACAATAATAGGTTTACAGTAGTTCTTTTATATGTATAAACATAAAACTGAATTGGAATACTTTATGTTCAAGGCATCCTCCATCTCTGAAGATAAAATCCAATGGAGGTGGGTAGACTGATTGCCTGTCGGGTGGGCTGTGGTGGAGCACCCTGGGTCATACATCGATCCAGGCCAGCCCATGTTCATGTCAATGAAGCAGCCCTGATGGTCACAACCTGCCTACAGGACAGTAAATAGGAAGGCTTTCTTATTCCTGTACCCCTGACCATCAGGGCAACTTGAAGGCTTGATTAAGATGTGGCAGCCATTGACTACACCCACTGCTCTGTGGTGTGCCACCCCTGCAAGTCCACAAAACACTACAGCCAGGTCCAGTGTTGTACACTTTCTAAATCAGCTTTTAATTAAGTTAAACAAAAAAAGAGCTTGTTTTCAGCTTTGCAATATTTTTCTATGCACACAGACAAGCTGTCTGTTAAATTATTCATTAAAGTAACTAGCTAATGTTAACATGAATCTTTAGAAACGTACAGATTAATCAATCTTACATGATATGAACATGATTAGCTCTGAGCCTTAGCCTTAGACAGCCAACAATGATGGTACAGCTGCTGAAGTTCTTCAAGGATTAGATAAATATTTAAAAATGTCCAGACTCCATTTTTCCACCTTCTTTCCCACAGTTGGGTAGTTAGCACAGTCATAGTCAGGGACGGCCGGTGTGAATGTGCTGACGGGGCTAAGCCCTCCCTACCGTTTTTAATTTTAAAAAAAATCTATAGCAGTACACTGCTGTGACGTAATGATGAAGCCGTTTGCAACATGTTTGCGTCCTAGAAAAGTCAACGATGTTATCTTCTCTTTAAATAAGGTAAACCCAACCCCTCTCTCCCTCCCTCCCCTTAAAATACGTAACATGCTTCTTTCCTGTTACACTTCTTTAAAGATCAATATTTTTTGCTGTGGATACCAAATCCTTGTATTGGGGACATGTTGTTTAAGTCAGTATGTTGTAAATTGTTGTGATATTTCAATTGTAGTCTATTGGCAGATTTTACAGTTGGAACACATTTTTAAGTTCATCCCTAGCTGCATCAGCAGAACTTTCAGATTATTCAGCCATCATTCCTGCATACTTTGTATTTGTAGAAACAATAAAAAGGCATGTGTTAATGTGTACAGAAACAGCTAGTCAAAAGGTGTGTGGGTGTGTGTCTGCCTGGCATTCTGGGTATTCCTCCATATAGTTTTGTTGTGTTTATTCTGCCCTCGCACTTAACTAGGCAGACAGACAACCATCATCCCATGTAGAAAAACCACACCGTTGTTCCTTTCTGGTGGATTTATTTGATTGGATGCATAGCATGGCTTTGT